TGTTGTCCGTGTGCGACGAGTCGTCATTGTTGTCATCAGACAGCATGTCCGGGTCGATCATGATTATGCAGAATGCAGATGGTCATAAATTCCTTGCAAAGCGTCTTCATGTGCATATCTGTTGGCATATGAAGTGTCTTCACACCGCCTTCAACCTCCCGAATGTGTGTTCTATAACAGACCGGACCTATGTATGATAATCATCATACGTCCATTGATCATCGGTCCTCCCCCCTCGCCAACCGGGAATCATTAGCCAAGGCAGCAAAGACCCAAAGGGAAGCCCGTGTCACCGAGGACCGCCCACCTGTCTTGCCGTCTCTCAAAACCACCGACCCATTCCCGAAGACACCAGCACCCTCTTGTGTCATCCGATATAGATGAGAGAGCCGCAACACTCTTGAATCATGAACAGATCTGGGTCATCCCAGGAAGACGCTCAAAATGCAGCATTCGTGGTCGCACACCACCTGCGCTTGGATTGAGAATTGTCATGTCCTGTCGTAATAGCACTCCGACCTCTCATTACTTAGGTTTTGAATATAGATGTTGTAAGAATGACTAAGTCTGAACAAGCTATAGAGGTGCTGCAGGAAAAAAAAAAAAAAAAAAAAAATCAAATAAAAAATAAAATAAATCAGAAAAATGAGAAAGAAGTAAGGGGATAAGAGTTTATTCTTTGAACTTATTCATTGAAATTTAGTATGTATTTTCATTGTAAATTTCTTATTTAGAATTTTTATAACTTCTATTTCAACTACTTATTTACAATTTGAATAATTTGAATTTCACTAAAATAAGTATGGCTAAAAGTAAAGATACACGAACCACGATTATTTTAGAGTGCAATATTGCACGGGTTACTCAAAATCATGGCTATTCTGTTGAGTTTTCTTGTTTTAAAATTGGTATATCATTTTCAACATTCAACAGTCAATTGTTTGACTATAGTAGTAGGAAGTCTAGTTTTTACTCTTATATGTGGTATTCATTCTTGTTTGACTCTTGGATTAAGATCTACAGACTCTCGAAGAACTAGTTTCTTCTTTTTTACCACATTGTCTACTTTATTACCTCTAATTCTTTTCTCTACTTCATATCAAACTGAGGATGAAGCTATGACTTTGTTCATGGGATATCTACTCTATAGATATTTTTTGGACTGTACAAATTTATTAACAGAAGAATTGGGAATGCTTTTAGGTTCTCTATGGGGGTTTCAATTTAGTGCTTGGGCGTCGATGGAACGAAGTAAATTAGATTTAGTATTTGAAATACAAAAAGTTTTAGAAAAAAGAGAAAATTTAAATAAAAAAGAAAGACCAAAGAAGAAAAAACAAAAAAAATTGAAGTTTAGGGGGGAGGGGGAATGAAAAAGTGATGAAGAAAAAGAGAACTAGGTGAGAAAGAGAAAAAGATTGAAGTGGGAGGTGGGGGGATGATGGGGTTGTAGTTGGGGGAGGGAAGGGGGG